ATTTTAAGGAAATTTTTGAATTTTTCATGGCACATTTTTCAATTTTCCCATGGAAATTTTTTAATTTTTTTATGACATTTTTTTAAATTTTTCATTGTAATATTTTAAATTTTTCATGCCAATTTTTTTAATTTTTCAAGGGAATATTTTGATTTTTTAACGCGATTTTTTTTGTTTTTTCACCGAATTTTTTTGTTTTTTCACAGAAATTTTTTATTTTTTCACCGAAATTTTTAGATAATTTTTTTTTCTGTTTTTTCTGTATTTTTTATAATTTTTTCCTGACCTTGCTGTAGATGTAGCAGTTGCTGAACTCTGTGTTCTCATGGTCCATTGTTGGGGACATTTTAAGGAAATTTTTGAATTTTTCACGGCAGATTTTTGAATTTTTCATGGATTCTTTTTAAATTCTTTCATGGCAATAATTTGAATTTTTCATGGCAATTTTTTTAATTTTTCACGGGAATATTTTAATTTTTCACGGGAATATTTTGATTTTTCACAGGAATATTTTGTTTTTTCACGCGATTTTTTTTGATTTTTTAACGCGATTTTTTTTTGTTTTTTCACCAAAAATTTTGATTTTTTCAGGGGAATTTTTGGATAATTTTTTTTTTTTTTTTTCTGTATTTTTTATAATTTTTCCTGACCTTGTTGTAGATGGAGCAGTTGCTGAACTCGGTGTTCTCATGGTCCATTTTTGGGGACATTTTGAGGAAATTTTTGAATTTTTCATGGCAGATTTTTCAATTTTCCCATGGAAATTTTTTAATTTTTTTATGACATTTTTTAAAATTTTTCATTGTAATATTTTAAATTTTTCATGCCAATTTTTTTAATTTTTCACGGGAATATTTTGATTTTTTAACGCGATTTTTTTGGTTTTTTCACCGAATTTTTTTGTTTTTTCACCGAAATTTTTGATTTTTTCACGGGAATTTTTGGATAATTTTTTTTTTTTATTTTTTCTGTGTTTTTATAATTTTTCCTGACCTTGTTGTAGATGTAGCAGTTGGTGAACTCGGTGTTCTCATGGTCCATTTTTGGGGACATTTTGAGGAAATTTTTCATGGCAGATTTTTGAATTTTTTCATGAATTTTTTTTTTATTCTTTCATGGAAATTTTTTTGATTTTTCATGGCAATATTTTAAATTTTTCATGGCAATAATTTAAATTTTTCACGGGAATATTTTGATTTTTCACGGGAATATTTTGATTTTTTAACGCGATTTTTTTTGTTTTTTCACCGAATTTTTTTGTTTTTTCACCGAAAATTTGGATTTTTTCACCGAAATTTTTAGATTTTTTTTTTTTATTTTTTCTGTGTTTTTTATAATTTTTTCCTGACCTTGTTGTAGATGTAGCAGTTGGTGAACATGGTGTTGAAGTCCTGCATGCACTCTGCTGCTCCCCAGTAATAATTGTTCTCCAGGCGCCTCTTGATGGTGCCCATGTCCATGGGCTGCTTGATGATCTTGTGATAATCCTGAATTTTTTT